GTTTAAAGAGCTCTTTCCAAAATGCACTGGTGAACACTTTGTCTCGATCTGAGACAATACTCACTGGGAGACCATGTAATTTGTAAATTGAATCTAGGAATAACTTAGCCACCACAGGAGCAGTAAAAGGGTGTGACAGGGCTAGAAAATGAGCATATTTGGTATACCTGTCAATTATCACCAAAATAACATCCTTCCCAGCTGATTTGGGAAGTCCTTCAATAAAATCCATTGCAATATGTGTCCAAGCCCTGTCAGGGATTGGTAGAGGTTGAAGCAGCCCCTGGTAGGCACCTGGAATGGATTTACTCCTCTTACAATCATCACACAGCTGAACCCATTTAAGGACATCTGCTTTTAGCCCAGGCCAGTAAAAAACATTCTTAACCCTCATGTAGGTGCCCAAAGCTCCAGAATGACCCCCATAAGAGGAGTTGTGCATGGTAGAAAAAATAGAATCTCTCAATTTGGTACCACTGCCAATAACAACTCTTCCATTATGCCTAATTATCCCATCAGTAACTGTGAACTTAGGATAAGTAGTAGGATGAATAACAGTAGCAGTCAACACTTTGGATAAAAAGGTGTCACCCTGATAACTGTCCTTCACTTCTTGCACCCATGTGGGAGTGAGGGTGGACAAAGCCAAACAATGATCATCAAGTCCCCTTCTGGACAGAGCATCAGCTGCTCTATTTTCAGAACCTTTCTTGTAGTGAATCTCATAATCAAGACCCAACAGTTTTGTTATCCACTTTTGTTGCACATGAGTCATGACCTTCTGGTCCAACAAGTGCTTAAGAGCCTGTTGGTCAGTGTTGATAAAAAATTTGTGTCCTTGTAGGTAATATTTCCATTTTTGAACAGCCATAAGCACAGCAAGGAATTCCCTTTCATAAATCGATAAAGCTTGATTCTTAGGACAAAGAACCTTACTCATATAAGCAATAGGCTGCCCTTGTTGCATTAGGACAGCCCCAATTCCCTTGCCACTGGCATCAGTCTCCAAGGTAAAAGGTTTGGTATAGTCTGGTAAAGCCAGTACTGGGGCACTGGTCATGGCTTGCTTCAACTCTTGAAAAGCCATGTCTGCAGCTGGGCCCCATTTGAACTGGTCCTTTTTAAGGAGGTCAGTTAGGGGTTTGCTGAGTATGCCATACCCTCTGATAAATTTTCTATAGTAA